TTTTTCAAGTGATTTGCCATTGCCTCTTTTCTAGAGCTGAGAGAAAGAAACTGAACCAAGTTCATCCAACTGGCTTTGTGCCCAAGGTGTAACTAGAACACACGGTCTCTCAGTTTCTAACCTGTTGCCTTAATCATTCCACAGAAGTGTTGTACAGAGAAACTTTGGAAAGTGTATATTGAATTGTAGCCTAAGTGTTAGCATTACAAAAAAAAACATGAAATTTGTATAATTCTCAGGCTGTAAAAAGTGTCATTACTTCCTTAAAATCCAGTATTTTCAGGTGAAGAATTAAGGGGTTCTTCCTAAGTAGGTTGTCCCTGCTGCAAGATAAACCATTCTAAACAGAATTCAATGTAATTTTAAAAATAGCTTAATTTATCCTCCCTAATTGCTATCTTGATTAACCATCAATACACTGAATTATTTGTACAGTTAATTTTAAATTAAATACCTTTCAGGGGGTAATTCTTCCGTCGCCATGTTTTCAAGTAAACCGGGAAAGCTTTGCTCCAATTCAGAATGTGAAATAATTGGTATTATTTCCTGGATATCTTGAAAACTTGCAGGTTCTTCTTTGGCTTCATTTAAAGAAGCCATTTCCACATCTGTACGTATAGTTTGTTCCATTCCTTGGAGGGTTTCTGAATGCCTCTTTACATCAGGCTTTTGAATGTCTCTGCTGGCTTGCAAAACTGCTTCACAGTTGTTGGTAATTAGCATGATTGTAGTATCTGCTTGAGGGACATCAGCAGAAAAACCTGGTCCTTCTGCTGTGCTCAATTTGATGTCATTTGTCTTTTCTATACAACTCTCTTGAACACTGTTGGATCCCAATTTGGACTCGTCTGGTGAGTGATCAGGACTTACTTCATTTTTAAAATAAGTAATTAGCTTATGTTCTGCTGTGTCCTGTCTCTTCTCTTCCTCTATGGACTTTTGCAACCAGTTATTACTGTCTATGGTATCCAGTACTGTAACAGCTGTGTTTTGTAATGTATGCTGATTGGAAAAATTAGGATTTTCATCAAACAATATCTCGGACTGATCTGTTTGTTCTTTATGAGCATCCAGATCATCTGTAAGAAATGGCAATGTTGAAATCTTGGCTAAGTCTGTATTGTCACCATTCCCCTTGTTGATGTTTTTATTCCCGTCATACGTTAACTGTTCTTTAGGTTCATCTGTTTCAAAGTTACACAGACTAATTAAATTAGCTTCTTTTACTTCAGTAGCAACAGGTGTGGCATCAAAATCTGGAACAACGCCTGTAGAGGAAGGGATTATCAAAGGCTCTTCGTTTTTAGGCGAAGATGGCAGATTCTCCGTTTCTTGGTTTCCGGAACTTCTAGATGGAAATTCTACTTTTTCTATGCAAAGTTGGTTCTCCATTTCTTGGTTTCCTAAACTTCTAGATGGAAATTCTACTTTTTCTGTGCAAAGTTCGTTCTCAGCAGTATCACTGCTTAAAGAGCAAAGGTGATCGTTAATCTCCGCATTTATTTCATGCCTGCTTAAACCATCCACCTTAAATAACTTGGGGGAAGTTGTAAGACAGTTTTCGGTTAAGCAATATTCGTCGATAGGGATCTTTTCTGAAAAGGCACTTGGCAAATCCTTCCCCTGACTGTTTGCCAGCATTCCTGTGAGTTCTTGTTCCTGAGCTGTTTTCTCTTCAGTGGCTTTATTACAGACTTCGGTCTCCAAAGGCAATGTGCGCTGGTTTGTTTTCCAGTCATTCTCGGGATCTACATCTGCACTGCTTTTTTCAACATCTGCCAGACCTTGCTTAACTTTTGTTTCTTTACCCTCTGGACTGATCTTCTCACTTGGACGCTGCTCAGTGGCAAGGTTAGGCAAGTTGGCAGGCACGACATTTGGTGCTACCTGTTCAAATATTTTGCTAATGTGTTTCCTGAAATCAAAAAAGCCAATGCTGAATGCCTTGGAAGATGAAATTTCTGGATCTTTTTCAGATATTGCTACAGGCTGCCTGGGAACATCTCCTTCCATCTTGGGAAGGTTGAATTTCTCTATCAAGTCACATCTCCTTTCTTCTTCAATCTCACCGTGCTTGTTATCTTCACAACTTATATTTGTTGCAGTGTCCTCCTTACAATTTGCTTGCTTATCGAGCGTTGAAAGGTCCAAAAGCTTCCTTTCTAAACTTGAAGGGCTGAATAGAGATTCTGCTGAGCTGTTAAGCTGCTGGGCTTTAAAATGTACATCACTTTTATCCCCTTTTAGCTTAATTGCCGAGATCTCATCCTGCAACTTCTTGAAATTAAAGGGTGACAAATTTCTTTCCCATTGACTGATCTCAGACTCTTGGCCTGGAATGTAAGATTCTTTTCCTGAGGCAGCTTCTGAAGGAATATAATCTAAATTCATTACTTCTGGTTTCCTTTGATCAGTTGTGTTGCTCTCCTCAAAAGCATCACCTAAGTCAACGTGTGTAGCACCAGCAGTCTGCAGACTGGGAGTGGTGTCGAAGACATCTTGACATGCCACAGCTTCTGGCTCACTTTTTTGAAATTCACCTTCAGGGCTATGATACATAAAGCCTGTAGATTGGGAGTTTACTTGGCTAGGCCCATTATGTAGAAATGCCAACGTTGAAAGAGGCGTTGGTTCTGCTTGAGAGCTGACATGTACGCTGTCAGTCTTTTCAATGGGACATGTTTTATGCCAAGCATCACTCAAAGGAACTTCTGGGCTATTAGGTAATCCAGGAGGATGTTCATCCATTCTTGTGTTTTCAGAAGGCAGGGAAGCTAAGTCCACTTTGCAAGTCACTTGCTCATCTTTCTGAATAGCTTCATTTGCTAAGCTCAGGTGTTCTTCTATCTCTGTATGTAAACTTTGTTCACCCAATTCTGCTTCTTTGCTTGGTAAGTTAACATCAGTCCCACTGTCACCTTCACAGATTAAACTCTCCTGCAGGGTTTGCGCCTGTTCAGTTTTCTGTATCACTGAAATAAACTCTGTAATGTCCATATTGCTTGCACATTTGGTGTCTGAAAGTTCGCCTAAACCATCCAACTGTTTAACTGTAATAGAGTTTTCAGGAAATGCACCACTCCGGCTTGGTCCTTCAAAAACACCACCTGAAAAGAGACAATTAGAAACGTCTTGCTTTACATTGTTTAAGGTTTCTTTGCTAAGGCAACTTTCTTCCTCTGGTGGGTTAATTACATTTCTCAGGTTGTTGTTTTGTGAGGTGTTCCCCACAAATTCAGAAATAGGTGTTGAAGATGCAGTGTCATTGGATAGATTAGTTGATTTTGTCTCTGGGCCACCAAGTACTGTCTGGAGCTTGTGTAGATTGTCTCCAATTTGTTGTAGTTCACTTTTATCAACCTCCCCATGGCCACAGAAATGATTTAATTCCAGTGATTGTAGCCTTTCGGGAGATGTCTGGTTAGAGGTCTGTCCTTGGGAATTCACAAATGTTTGAAGACCATCGTGATCCAGATCTTTATCTTCTGGGTTTGAAACACACTGTCCGTCTTCACTTGCTGTGACCTTTGAGCTTTCATTTGACTGCACTTCGGGAGATGTTATTAAAATGCCCACCGTCTGTGGATTTTCCACAGTCTCTTTGGGAGGAGTTTCCAAAAATTCCTTGCAATCATTGCTCATGAATGGAGAATTGTTTGCCCTTATGCTATTATCGCCTAAGTCTCCAAACTTTAGTGGCTGGGGACTGATTTCTGCTCCAACAGCTGATACTAAAGGATTGCCAGAATAATCATGTTTTATATTAGGGTCATTTTCTTCACTTGCTTGTTCCAGCTGCACTTGCTGCGTGGAGTCCAACTTTATATGGATTTCTTGTGCCAAAGTTGTGTCAGCTTCTTGTTTCTTCATCCCTGTTTCGCATTCCTCCTGTCTTGCTTCATTACCGTCATTCTTACCCACAGCAGTGCTTTGTTCAGCGGTAGTCACAGGTACAGAGTTTGGGCCACTGCCAGCTGTTGAGGCACATCTTTCACCTTCAGAGTGGGATTCATCCTCTACAATGTTTGTCTTCTCAGCTGCAACACATTCAGCACTTCTAGCCTGTCCGTTTAAGTTGTGGAACTCAAGTTCCGTTTTAGACACTGCAATTATTTTTGCATTTGGGGCATCGGTCTCTGAATTTATTTCATCCATCAACTGGTCTTCCAATTCTGATTTGGTGTTTTGAGCAAATGTTGGCCCAAATAGCTCAAATCCTGGCTGTTCCCGGGATTCCTGTTTTTTATTCTGCAGAACATCATTGTCTTCAGGAGGCAGGGACAGTGAACCGTCCACATCCTCTCTCTCTTTATTGACTGGAAAGGAGAACTGAATATTTTCAACACTGAACTTCAGAAGATCACAACTCCCCAAGCTGTCCTTTTCTTGTAAAAGTAATAATTCAGATGACTCAAGACTGGCCACTTTTTTTCCATTTAGGCTTGTGGTTCTTTGCTCCAAGTTCTCGCTTAATTCCGGTGAATGATCATTGAGTATATTCAGATTACATTCCGAACTGAGGTTCTTTTCTAAAATTTTGCCACTGATATTGGTTTCTAAACCACTTACTTGATCATCTAAAGCAGCTTCTTGACTGATCTGTCTTGAATTCGTATCAAAAGATAGTCGTGTCTCTTGGGGACAGTTTATATCTTCATGTATAACCTGACTTGAGGCTGGCACCTCTTGACATTCATGTTCTTCGTTTCTGGAAGAAGTAAGTCCGTATTTCTCAGCTATTGTAGTTTCTTCTTTATTATGATCAGCAAGGTCATTCTCACTCATGAAATCGCTTGTTCTTCTGTCAAGTAACAACAGTTTATCCCCAACAGATTCTTCCTTCCCCATATGCATAACATTTTCTGGGTCACTTAAGGCTGTATTTCCCCTGCTCAGAGATTCAGTTTGTGTGATTTCATTGTTGCTAATCTGTTCTGCTGCGTTCTGAGATGTGTTTGCTTTTTGCCCTTTGTTTTTATTTTCTGGCATCAAGGATGCATCCGAAGGTTTCAAGATAACTGGTAAATCCACACAATGGATGTTTGGTTCTGGGTTTATGCTCTTTTCTAGCCATTCATTTTCAGCCACCAAGTCACCAATTGGTTGTTCTGTCATGGTTAATGGCAACAGGGTTGATCTGTTTGAAGACAAACCGGATACAGTAGGAGGACCCTGAAGCATCCCGCTACCCTTTTCTGGAAATATTTGGAATTGATTGTCCTCTCTGTTCACACCACTGTTGCTACCTTCGCTGATGACACCTCTGAACTCAACAAAGCTCTGATCAATACCAGATGTACCATATTTATTTATGTCTGAATTTCCTGCTGTGAGATTATTTGGAATACAATTTTCTTTCTTCATTACCAGGTTGTCTACACTACCTGTGTTCAGCCCCACTGGTTTTATTAAAGTCTCTTCCTTGTTACTCACTTCTAATTTAGTTTCCTCTATGATTTCTTTAGCGGTATAAAAATCTTTCTCATGCATAGGCAGCTGAACAATACGCGCCTTCTTTCCTCCAATCAACAATTCACTCTGTGGCCACAAATCTAATTCACTGGAATTGCTTTGCTCGGTTCCAGGTTCTGATGTCCAAGTAGAATCTGATGAAGGAATCCGTTCCAAAACAGTATTATTTGGATTTTCCTTATACTGTCTTGCAAAAGTAGTAGCATAATGCTCAGCATCTGTTCTACTGACAAGAGGCACAGTTCTTGTGTCTTTGTCATTCGCAATCGCAGGGTATAACAGCAAGGCAGGCAAGCCTCTAGGGATATCATCAAGGCTTAATGCAGTGCATTCTTTACCATGCTCAGAAGGAACTGGCCTATGTTGCCTTTGATCCTTTTCTTCAGTAGGTTCTAAGGAATCTTTCTTACACAGTTTATTTTCCAACACCATCACATCTGAATACGCCACAGCATTGTTTTCACTGGTTGATTTTCCAGCAGTGTTACTGCAGAGGCCTTCGTTATTTAGGCTCACTTCCAATCCAGTCTCCTGCCTGATTTCTTTAATGGCATAAGAGTCTCTGCCTCTCTCACTCTTAGGCAACAGGCTGATGTGCGTCTTGTCTCCTCCAATCAACAGTTCGCTCTGTGACAACAAATCTAATTCACTGGAATTTCTTTCCTCGGTTTCACGTCCTGATGTCCAGGTAGAATCTAATGCAGGAATCTGCTCCAAAGCAGTATTATTTGGATCTTTCTCAGACTCTCTTGCAAAAGTAGTAGCATAACAGTCAGCATCTGTTTCACTAACAATAGGCGCAGTGCTGGTGTCTTTGTCATTCACAATAGCGGGGTTTGACATCGTGACTGGCAAGCCTTCAATGCTATTTTCAAAACTTAGTGCTGTGCATTCTTCACCATGCTCAGAAAGCATTGGCATAGGTTGCCTTGGATCTTGTCCTCCTTCTTCAGTGGCTTCCAATGAATCTCCCTCATGCAGGTCATTCTCCTGTGCCATCACATCTGGATGTGCCCCAACAGTGTTTTCACTGGTTGATTCTTCAGGGGTGATACTACAGAGGCCTTCATTATTGGGGCTGCCAACAATGGAAACATGTATTGATTTCAATTTGGCAATAAATTCCACATCACAGAAGTTTGAAATGCATGCACATGCACTGTAAAGCTATCGGTCTGCTTTCATGAGGCAAGAAGTCAGAGGCACCCATGATATAAAATCTCGGCAAGAGCATCATTAGATGCAAATGTATTCCTGTAGCATTTATTTATCTATTTGATTTTTTATCTCGCCTTTGCTACTTTATAAGTAGCTCAAGGAGGTGTACATTCATAATACTCCTTCCATCTCCTATTCTCTACACAACAACAGTATTTTGTGCTGTTGTGTTAGACACTTGAATTTATGGAATGCATCTGATGTTCATGCTAGACTTAAAATTAATCCTGATTTGAGTACATAATATAGAAAATTTATCAGAGCAGAACTGAGTTTTAGATGAAAACCTATACTAGGGATTGACCACATGTCTCTGGATTTAAAAATTCTTCCAATAAGTTTAATTTAGATCACCATTTCCCAATCTTGTACTACTCAAGTATGCAACTCCCAAAATTCTCAGTGAAAATTCTGGCTGTTGGTAGCTCCAACTGTCCAGAAATACCATTTAGATTTGAGAGAGCTCATTTAGACTTCTATATTGCAGCTTTCTGTATGTAATAAATTACATCTTAGATCCCAAACCAATTTACTATGGAATAAATGCAATGAATGTAGCAATACTGAATTCTGAACAAATGTATAGGATATGTTCCAATTCATAATATGCCTTTTTACCCTATAGACAAAATACTAAGTATTTTCATGTACTAGAAAACCTGGCTAAATAACATTCTATTGTTATTCTATGTTTTTCTGACTTTTCAGTTCTAAACTGCCTTAAGCTGCTATTATTTCCATAATTTGATAGCCATTTTCTGTTTTCTGCCTACCATCGTTCCTGATTGATCTTAAATTGAAACTGATCAGTTATTTCTTCACATTATTCCACACCCCTACACCCCAGTTAGCAGTTCTTGCCTGCAAAAATGCAGCTGATCATTAGAGGGCAGCAAAGCTCAGGGGAACATTTTGCTGCAATCTTGAAGTCTGGATTGTTGCAGGCCAGATCTGGTAGGCTTATACTTGTCAGATGCTTCCATCTTGACTTCCACATGATCTCACCTCTTCATATTTGCTCTATGTCCCACTGTTTTACAAATGCTGATGCATTTCAGTAGCTGGGAATGCAAACTTTGCACTACTGTAGCACTTTCACTAGAAAAATGGAGGATATTGTATTCTGCCCGGATAACAATCAAGTTGAGATTCAAGAAAGTTAACAAGACATGACTTTCAATAGAGATTACCAGCACTGTAAGATAATTCACCAGGAATTTAGTAAAGTTTCTCTTTTCATTGCCTTCCTAGAATTCAAAAATAGAAAAAGCTTAAGCTGGGAATATTCCACTCATCTTAGTAGATTTTAAACCTACAGATCTGATCTATGATTATCTATAAATCAAAGCAACTCTGGTTCCACCACAAATGCGCGAATGACAAAAGCGCGCCTGACTAAACCGCAGTGACAAAACCGCGCTGTCAAAACCGCGGTGGCGAATGAGCGCTGAAGCGCGTCGACAACAGCGCGCCGACAGAAGCGCGCTGTAACCCTAACCCTAACCCTAACCCTA